CCGTACATTTCTCGTTCTCGGTAGTATTGGTCTTACTTTGGATGTCTTGAAGTATCCTTACATGTTTTCTTCTTCACGTCAATCGTCTGTGTTTCGTCGTACCCCCCGTGTTTCCCCCTCTTCCCCCGGACTCCAGGGATGATGGCACTTCGTCGCCAGCTGGCAAAGCGCCATATTAGGAAGGTTATGCGGGAGATGAGGATGGACCAGACGCCGACGGCGCCGATGCCGCTGACGTCAATGTCGCCGTTGACTTCGCATCGGCGGGCGACGGGTGGCGAATCCCCTGCGGCAGGTGTCACAGGGAGCAGCGGCGGCGGCAACGAAGGCTTCGGCGGCATGTTCGGGACGCGGCTGCCTGGCTTTGCCGGTCCGACGTCAAAGGTAAGAGAATCGTCCGCCATACCTGCAAAATTCGTTCACCATTTATCAAATGCCGTACAGGGTGTCGTACATGATGTAAAGCCGTCTGTGTTGCACTTAAAATTTGTTTGATATTCCATTCTTCTCCAGCATTTAACTTGATAATGTGTTTCCTTCGTGTATTATCATCCTCACTTTCATTCGTGTGTACGACGCCATACCCGTGCCCCGTCTTTCCCTTTCTCCTCGCCTCTCTTGCCGTCGTGTCGTACAAGACTGTACTGCCTCCACCCCACGGCGACGCTGCGGCGGAGGTGGAGATGTCCTCGGGATCCACAAGCCACCAAGGTGCCAAGGGCGCCGCCGCAGCGACGGCACCGGCGCAGCCATTGCCGACGTCGTCGTACACCAGTTTCAAGTCCAACGGCGGTGGCGGCGTCGCGCCGCTGCTGCCTGTCTCGAGCATCGGTTCGACCGCTTCCGCCGGTGCCGGCACCGGTGGCGGCGGCGGCAGTTCTGTGCGGCCGACTCGGCCGGCGCCGGCGCCGCCCTTCCCCCGGGGAAGCGGCGGCAACGCATTCGCGACCGGGCAGCTGTCTCCCGCCAACTCCATTGGCACAGCCGGCGGCGGCGGCGGCGGCGGCGGCGGCAGTGCCGTGTAAATTAGCTATGAATGAAAGTAGTAGTCCAGACTTAACACTAAGACATTGAATTGTTGAAAGGGAACACTGGGAGGGGGAGGAGAAGGGATCCGGAGGACACGTTTTTTCCTTGCTGAACTTCGTTGTGCTACATTACTGCCGTACGGCCGTACATGGCCGCACACCGTACGACATATGGGTTGGATCGTAAGTGTTTCTATGATGTATACGAGAAAGGGTGGTGGCGGTGGCAGTGATGGCAGTGGTGGTGGATTGACCAGCTCACCGATCACTATTTCATTGGTGGGAGACTCGAGCTTGCATCTAGGGTTTTGTATTCCCCACCGCCGTACACTCGGCCACGGCTTGCGCCTCGTACGCTTTGAAAAATAATGAGCAATTTGGCAGGGCGTGAGCAACTGCAGCGGCAGTAGCAACAGAGGAAAAGAAAGCAGCAGTGGCAGCGCGACAACGACCTGTCCAGGGATTCCAGTCGGGCACAAAGCCACTATAAAATCCCAGTGGGGCTACGTCCGCAAAGAAGTCAAAGGCGAGATTGAAGCTAGGACAAGGACGGGATCCCAGGAAAAAGGGGATTGCAGCGTTTTTTTAATGCATGGACGCTGCGTCGTACACACTCGTGGATTTACACGAGGCGGCAACGTACAAGTTTCAAATGCTTTTTATGTTGGGACGACTTTTTGGCGACGTGGGGTACGGACGCTCACTCGTACAGCACTGATGGGAACTGTTACCTTGCATTTTCCTGTTGAGGAGGAGGTTGTTGTTGTGGGGGAGTATTGTGGTCTTATGGGAAGGTGGTGGTGCCTCAGGCTGGGAACCGGCCTGCGGCTTCACGGCGGTTTCTGGCGACTGCGGCAAGAGGTTCTAACGGTTTCAGTTCTTGCTGTTTTAAGAGTCGCTACACGACTTTCTAATGCACACAACACGACCGACGGGCGTCAACCAACACGCGCACATGCGCACATGCACAAGTAATACCCACACGTACACCCACACGTACTCGAGACCCCCGTTCCGCATACACACCCTTTTCCCTCTCCCCCCCCACCACACACACACTGCATGGCTCCAGCTCACCTCTCCGGGGAACCCCAAAGTCTCTTCTTCTTCCCTTTTAGGGGACTGCGGCATTTGGAATATCTGGCCCCACATCATGTCGTTGTCATATAACTTGTCATGTCATCATGTTAGGGTTTCGCCATGTATGTCCAGTCCCTGACGGGCGCCCCCTACCTGTCTGTATGTATATCTGATAATGGAGGCAGGCAGAAGTGGCTGTGCAGTAGACGGGTTGTGTGGACTAATGAACCGCGGGACAGAGACCTAGGCAAGTAGACAGATTCACCGACAGACAGACAAACCGGCCGACATGTAGGGCAAGGCAGTATCTTCTCATGGGACAATCATAAAAACTGCGATCCTGAAAAGTGAGGGGCAGCGGCCCCCGGACTGGCACATCGGGACTTGGCTTTTAGGAAGGGGAAGCTTTTAGAAGCTTCAGATCAGGTACAGAGCTGAGGGGGGGGGGAGGACGTTGTCAGGGTGGTATGAGACGGTGGCGGGGGGGAAGGCGCGGGGAAAACACACGGTAGCCGCACACGGCAAGAGGAGGACACGTGAGGCTTGTCGCCCGCGAGGAGGGCACGGTAAAGGGGGCGTATGACGAGGCATCGTCGTGAGCTCTCGGGCCCCTGCCTTACCTAACTAACCGAGGCTGTTCTTCACTTGATCAAGTGCACCTTCAATAAGGTGATCACTTAACACTAAGCGGGGGAGTGATTTCAGGTTTGTGCTGTGTAGGCAGGGGAGAGGCGAGTGGGTTGTGTGCTTTAGCTGATCGCGAGCCTTAGCAGGGCCACTTTAATTTTCTCTCTCTCTCATCTTCTTGACGCCAAGGGAGGGGGGGCGGAATGAGTTGCTGTGCAGCAAGAGCACATATCGTAAAACTTGCTCGGGTGCCGGTGTGGGAGCTCTGGAAGAGTCGCTTTCTGATTAAGGTATTCCCATAGTCGGAGTCGGTGGGACTTCCCGCTGCTTTGTTCTTTGAGATATTGTTTTAGCCAAAGCCACACACGAATGTTTTTTACTCGTGCAGGTTGGCGATGTACCCCAAAAAAACTGGGGAGTTGGTGTTCGAGCCAGTGTGTACGGCCGAGACGTGGGCAAGATCTGGGTCTATCCATGTACGGAGATCGTACGGTGCGGGGCCGAGGGGTTTCTGCGGGTTTAAGAATATACCAAGTGGTGTACGACAACGGTTTCTGTGCCTGTATGTCATCGTCTATCTCGTAATTTCGGACTATTGAGTTTAGCTCGCTTGCCCGCAGGAGAGTTCGCTCTTTGAGGAGTAAGGGTTTGGGAAGGTTTGAAACAGAAAACATAAAAACTCCCAGGATGGTGGAGCACAAGGTCGGGGAGAGCAATTCTTTTGGCTGCCCCGGTCGCACAATTCCTGTGCTTCCCTAATTCGACACCCCGAACAGGCCAATTCTGACTGTCGGAATGTCCCTGCCAGGCCGATTCGACACCCCACAGGCCAATTCAAGGGCCTGTCCCGGCAATTAACTTGGCCCGGGTGTAGCCCCCGTGCCAATTTTCCTTTTGTAGGGCTCTCTAAAACTCCATTTTATAAACCCTTGCACCGAGCAATTTCGACCAATTGCGGGGTCGGCCCCGAAACCCTCAGGCAGGCATCCGGACCCTCCCGCGGGACTTAAAGGGAATTTATGAAGCGTCGCATGTGCGTACTCTGTTGGTTTCGATGCCAGTACGTGGGGCAGGAACCCTACTCGCCTGGTTACCGTACTCCGTACTCATTCATTCATACATTCATTGTGTGTGTGTGTGTGTTCAACGAAAAGATACCACCACCCGAAGCGACCCGAACCAGAGGCGTGTGTGCACTGCGAGCCGCTCGCAGTTCAACACCCCCTTCATTCATTCATTCATTCGTTCAGACAGACAGACAGACAGACAGACAGACAGACAGACAGACAGACAGACAGACAGACAGACAGACAGACAGACAGACAGACAGACAGACAGACAGACAGACAGACAGACAGACAGACAGACAGACAGACAGACAGACAGACAGACAGACAGACAGACAGACAGACAGACAGACAGACAGACAGACAGACAGACAGACAGACAGACAGACAGACAGACAGACAGACAGACAGACAGACAGACAGACAGATCCGCGCGCCTCTCCTTGCTCCGTAGTTCAGCCCAGCTAAGGGTCCCGGCACTCGACCATACGACATGTGTATGGCGAGCCGCCCATAGTGTAACACCCCTTTCACTCATTCATTCGTTCGTTCATTCATCCATTCATCCAGCCATTCAGACGGACAAAGAGACGTAAACACGCGCCCTGACTCCCTTTGCTGAGTAACACACGATCCTTGGCTGAGGAAGGTTCTGTTTTATGGAGTAAAAGAGTCACTTTCCATTTGGATCGTTCGTTGCTGCTGATACACGGCTGGGGAGTCATCAACAACACTCGCGGGAATGTGTGTGAGGAGCCAACGCTGTACCAATAGGCGGCCCCAGGGGCGCTTTTCCTCTCTTTTACGAGTACAAAGAAACGTTCCGCAGGCACCCAGCGAGTATAGATCTCCGGAGGCCAGTATGTGTAGGGTTGGGAGTCTAACAGCACCGAGTACGGGAGTACGGGAGGTCCGACGTCGGACAGCGGCGGAGGGCAGCATGGACCTTGGGCTGGTGTGTGCGTTGGAGCCGCGTTGGAAATGGACAAACACGAGGGGGTGAACGGAGAAAGGGGTCTTTGGATTTGAATGGGTCCTGCTTGTGTTGTTTCTGGTGTGGCTGGCTGCAGTTGCTGGTATGGGCGGAGGGAACGTTTTGGACGTAGCTTACGTGACTGCTTTACTTTGCGGAGCTGCAGTTCAGATATTTCGGAATTATATGTGGATGTCTCTTCCACAGACGTGCAGGCGACTGGGCGAAATCCGGACTGCACCATCCTGTCCAGAACGCTTACTCTCCATGGTAATCAGTGCTCCCGGGCACCTCTGCATATGTTATTTTGACTTGGGCCTGATATGATTTGCGAGGGAAGAGAATAGGAAAACAGGCGTCCCCGTCCTTGTGTTGACGCGATGGCGAAACATAAATATCCGCGTAGCGCTGTCCCTTCGGTCGACAACGTAGCTGTTCACCATCTGGCGACGAGATGAGTTATACCATAAAGGAAACGTCGACAAATTTAATGTTTGCCTTAGGGTTTATGGCTGAAACGGGGGCATCCCGGTAACTGACTTCGCGCACTTTAATCAACTCCCGCAGGGTCACGCGAGCCTCGAGTTGCGTGTGTAACAAGGAAAATTGGTATATTTAAAGACTTTATGTGCCACTGTAAATTCCACTGGCTCTCAGAGCTACCCAAGGCTTTTAGGAGTCAGCGTTGCGCCAGCAAAACGACATCCACGTCAGAATACGGTTTTCGAAACTCTTCCTCAGGCGAGATCATACGTCAAAACCATATGTAACAGAAACATGCTACATACGTGTAATCGGCGATGGGAAAAATCTGCGACTTTGCCCTCGTACATCCGCGTGGCAAACGGCTTCCCTGAAATCCGTTGACCTGTACCTCGTCAGCTCCTACTGCATATAAGGAGCTTGCACGCTGAGGAGATGTTGTCGCTCTCAACTCATCCCTCAACACTTCGAAAATCCACAGCTGTGCCGCGCACTTTGGCAGGGTGCTTGATCGTCTGCAATTCCAAGCTTCCGCTTGGACCGTTATTCACCAGGCCGGAGAAACACCGTACTGCAGCAATGCTTCGCGTAAGTTTCAAGGGGTGCTGCATCCTTCCTGCGTAGCTATAGCGTCGCAGCAGTGCTTTCGGGATGCCATGCCGGGAAGCCCTTGATACGCTTTCAAGACTCATCATGGTCGCGAAAAATACTACATGCTATAGTTTAACCTTGATTGGTTTTTGTCCATATGTTTTGCATGGGTGACTTCAGCGGCAAACGGTCATCGGCTGGCAGTTAGGAATGTTGGCCTGCGGTGCCCGGGCGTGTGCAAAGACCTAATGCTTAATTTCATGCAATTATTCTCGTCTTATTGCCTGCCCCTTTTTGCCTTGAAACAGTACGCCTCGGACAACATGCCAAACGGCGCTGATGCTAAGTTCCTGATGGACAGCAACTTTACCAGGCAGTCGGGCCTGGCACCGCGTCAAATTTTCCGCAATCTGCCACCGTCACAGCTTTATGAGATGGTCAGTCGGTTGGGGTGAACGGGTAATGCATGCTTTCCTTGATGACATGTTGCTGCAGATGATATGGTGCCTGTCAGCAAGGCTCATTTTTGGACATTTTATCGGCGTGGACTAGAACGGCCATATATTCCTATGTCAACCCGCCACGATCGCTGTTTGCAGGCCTTGGCCTTCGAGCCTGGGACTCACATCACATCTACTGGCGCGCTGGCAACTCTGTCAGGTCAGTCTGTCATAATCATTATACGTTTTCCTACCATATGAAGGTGATGTCTGATTATGTGAGGTGTTTACGCAAACGTGCTAAGGGAACTGATGGATTTAATTATCCGACTGTCAAATAAAAGCTTGTCCCGCTCTCCCGTGCCCCCACACTGTGTGCCGCTCCACCAAACACACCAGGCGAGAAGATGGGCCGCAGCCCGAAGGACAAGTAAGTTAGGGAATCCCACGGTGCCCTCCCCAAGTGATTTTTGCGATAAGAGCGGGATGCACTGTTTGTAACAACGAGTGTGCGGAGGTCCTAAATGACTCCCAAGTTGGGTTGGGTCCGTCCAAGTGGATGTATTGTGTACTCGGATGTCGGCCCAACTCGTTTGAGTTGCTGCCTGATGCTATTCTTCCCTTGTTGCCATGGCTTGCCTGCTGCGATCCCAGGCGTATCGTGCGTGACCCCGAGACCGAGAAGGACCTTTGGTGGGGCCCTTACTCGCCAAACTACGTCATGGATGACAGGTGCGGCGTCCTACATCAGACATCCCTGGCACATGGTCGCGCAAATTTCAACCGCTCTCGTTGCTTTTAGAACTTGTTTTTTATGGATAACGCACGCCCTGTGATATGCTTATTTATTTATTCATGATGGTGTGATTTGTAAAAGCGAAACCCCGCGTGGTTTTCGTTTACTACCGATCGAAAATGTTTTTTTGCCGTTGTGTTGCTCAAAATTTTTGAGTTGCCGCCCTCGAAATTACGAAGGATTATATATGACTGCATTTCTTAAACGCCAACAGGACCTTCCTGACCAACCGAGAGCGCGCCGTCGACTATTTGAACACACTTGACCGCATCTACATCGTGGATGCATTTGCCAACTGGGACCCCGCTTCGCGCCTCAAGATCCGCGTCGTGACCAGCCGGGCCTATCATGCACTGTTCATGCATAATATGCTCATCCGGCCGACTCCTGAGGAACTTGAGGACTTTGGGGAGCCAGGTAATACGGTATCCTACAGTTACACCCTAGAGCTTTTTGACACAAAAGTGGTTAAATCAATTGAATTTGTTGGATTTAATCCGTCGGATGGCAAAAATGTTTTACGACTTCCATGACTTCCGATAGAATTGATCCCAATTACTTTTTCCGCAGACTTTGTGATCTACAATGCGGGCGCCTTCCCCGCTAACAAGTATACGAACGTAAGTTTTCAGATGAGCGTTACCAACATTAAATGCGCTGGTACCGGTGAAGGAAATAAAGTGGGTTGAAGGTTGACGGCGCCGTCGGCGGCGAAGCTGACCGCCATCGGCTGCTTTCGCTACTGCTCCCCTTCCTGCTCACCTCTACTCGCTCCTTCCTGCCTGTTCCGATTTTCCGGCTGGGCCCCGTATCTTACACGACATCTGGCTTATGGCTTATTTAGGTAACAATATCATATTATTTACCCCCTCCACCGTCGCTCCCACCTGGTCCCTCCTGGCCACGCCGCCTCCGTGATGTTTGTAGTTTATGACGAGCCAGACGTCCATCGACTTGTGTCTGAAGCACAAGGAGATGGTCATTTTGGGGACCATGTACGCGGGCGAGATGAAGAAGGGAGTGTTCACGTAAGTTCTTAGAACATGATTGAACAGCCACCACCACCAAACCCTGAAACCCTTCGTTTTGTTGTGCATCATCATCATCACCATAATCATCATCATCATGCTTCTTACCATCCTCATAACCATCCTTTTAACCATCATCCTTATTCATCATCATCCTTAACCATCACTCTTAACCATTATGTTGTATTTCCTTACTGCTCTCCCATCTCCCCTCCCCGCCTCGCAGGTTGATGCACTACCTGATGCCCATGCAGGGCAAGCTGTCCCTTCACTCGGGCTGCAACGTGGGCGCGGAGGGAGATGTGACGTTGTTCTTCGGACTGAGTGGCACCGGCAAGACCACCTTATCGGCGGGTAAGACATCACCACCTTGGCGGCGGGGATCCTTTTTTTTCCTGCTTCACCTCCTCCTCCGTGCGTTTACCGTTATTCGGAGTCCAGCCCCATATCCCCATACCAACCTTTATTCTGTATGTCTTTCTGGCTGTGCTGGCTGTGTTTGTATTAGAAAGTTATGGCTGCTGCTGCTAATGGTATGAATGCGAATGGTGATGACCACCATGATGCAACCCCTTCCAAGCCCTCCACCCCACCCCCCCTTCGCCCTTCCACAGACCCGAAGCGGCCTCTGATTGGCGATGATGAACACGTTTGGTGCGACACCGGCGTGTTCAATATCGAGGGCGGCTGCTACGCCAAGTGCATCGGGCTGAAGAAAGAAACCGAGCCCGAGATCTGGAATGCCATCCGGTACGGCAAGGCTCAACTGTCCTCGCTCTCTTTATTATCATCTCGGGATTTGCGCAAACGGCTCGTTCCATTCTTTGCTTGTTGCTCAATTTGTGTTCTTGACCCTTTTTGCTTTGTTTCATTTTTGTTTTATTTTTTTGTCCCCTTATACCCTCCCCCCTTTCCCTTTCGTTATTTTGCGCAGTTTCGGCACTGTGTTGGAAAATGTGGACTACGACCCGGACTCTCGCCTTGTGGACTATGACTCTCAACGACTAACGGAAAACACGCGCGCCTCGTACCCTATCGAGTATATTTCCAATGCGCACGTTCCCTGCGTTGGCGGCCACCCCAAGAACGTCATCCTGCTCGCGTGCGACGCCTTCGGAGTCCTTCCGCCCGTCAGCCGACTCTCACTAGAACAGGCCATGTACCACTTCATCAGCGGATACACGGCCAAGGTGAATTTGAAGGCGTCCAGGTTTTTGTTTTTATTAAAAATCAAGTCAACCCTAAGGCCTGCAATCCCCAACCTACAAACAAATCTACGCGATTTCATTTTTAAGGATTGGTGTTGCCTTATTTCTGTTGGTTAAATATTTTTTTAAGCATTCGGTTTGTCGTTGTTCCATTGTAGGTTGCCGGCACTGAGGTTGGTGTTAAGGAGCCCACGGCGACCTTCAGTGCTTGCTTTGGCTCGGCCTTCCTCATGCTACACCCGTACAAGTGAGTGACATGTTACTATGTACGTATGTATGTATGCTTTGCTTTGGAAGATAATGACTGGTATGAACATTTCTCCTCACTTGGCCCCGGCGGATGTGTTGTCGCCTAACTAGGTACGCCACCATGTTGGCTGACAAGATGTCGAAGCACGGCACTCACGCCTGGTTGGTCAACACGGGCTGGACTGGCGGCAAGTGAGTCAGGGGATGTGGGGGCCTTCCTGTATGTCTGCCTGTCTGTATATCTGTTGAGGAAGACAGTTGTAAGAATTGGGGAATGCGACCTCTACATGGTGGTCGGAATGAATCCTCCTTCCCGACGAGGGCCTCCGTGGAGACCCCAGGGGGGTGTTGGGTATGTGTGTGTTAACAACAAGCATGATTATGGGGCGAGGGCCGTCTGTAATGCAACACGTGACATTTTGTACTCGTACGCAGGTACGGCGTCGGCAAGCGCATCAGCCTGAAGTACACTCGCGCCATCATTGACGCCATCCACACCGGGGAGCTGGAGAAGGCCGAGTACGTCTCGACCCCCATCTTTGGACTTCAGGTAATGCTGCGGTAGTGCTGGGTTCTTGGGGCTGCTGTGGATTCTGTAATGCGGGCTTATGTGTATTGGGTTGGTTGACTGATTTGCTCATGCATAATTAATTTGCTATCTCTGATGCCGCTCACTCCTGCGCACCTGGTCACACCTTGCGATCAATGACTTGTGTCCCTGAAAACGGATTTTCCGTCGTTCACGCTTTTTTTGTGTCACCCGCAGGTGCCCGTGTCCGTGAGCGGTGTACCGCCGGAGATTCTGAGTCCCGAGAGCGTGTGGCCCAACAAGAACGAGTTCGCGACCACATTGAATCACCTGGGGCACATGTTCGTGAAGAACTTCGAATGCTTCAGGTAGGCTGAGGTTGCTCCCCGGGTGGGGGCCCTGGGGGTTTGAGAACGTGTACTACATGTAAATATGTGAAACCCTAAAACCCTAAGATACCGAGCAACAAAAGCTGATTATCACAAAAGCTTATTAACTTCTTCCTCCGTGTCTGGTGCCTCTGTACCTTTACGACCAACAGCGACGGCGACTCTTTTGTTGGTGCGGAGATGGCGTCTCGCATCCTCACCGGCGGCCCCTCCCCTCTTCCGGAGGATCATGTGGCCAAGACCGGCTTCGGAGCAATCATCTCGGCTGCCGCAACGGCACCCGCAATCCAGGCCTAATAGTATCTATGTGCGTATGTATGTCATGGCTTGAAAAACGCGGCCTTCGGCGATTAGGCAGGAAGGAAGCGGCTAAGGAATATGTGTTTTTTGGGGGGTTGGGAATTCTGGGGGGGGTTTGGAGCATGTTTTATGGTCGTTGCCGCGAACGAGGGGAGTGACAGTTGCCTCCAGTCCCTCCGGAGGAAGGAACTTGAGGTGTCGTTGCGCAGAGGTGAGGGGTTTGTTTGTGCACGGCTTGTTCTTGTCTAGGTGTGTGTAATAATATTCTTGCGATCTTTTGAGGTGTAAGGTTATACACTTGGGAGTAGGAATGTCTTGTTCTCGGACTGCACTTTTCATTTGTCTTTTTTCAATAATGCAGATGGCCTGGGCTTTGTAGGCTTTGTTACTCGCCATTGGAGTGGGGACCCTGTTACATTTTGTTGTGCGGTTCGCTGTTTTATTTGTCACTTCTCGGTTTTGTTTGGCACCGCACTGCTCTCTATTTTAACGAGCGACTACTGGGCGGTTGTACTACAACGATATCATTAACACACTTGGCAATGATGTTAATGGTCTTATACGAACCTTGCCAAATCGACATATCTTGTAAACGTAATGGGATTCATGACCCCGCCCTTCTCTCTTTATGACCACCCCTCGTTCACGAAACACATCTTCACGTTCCCTTCATTAGCCCAGCAAAGACGACTCTCTAACCCCGAAAAAACACATATTCCTTAGCCGCTTCCTTTTTTTTTTACAGCATGAGGTCTAAACCCTAAGTAACAAACGGTCATACAAAGTAAAAAGTATGGATTTTCAAAGGCTATACCAAGATCAATTAAAATCTGCTATCCCTTGCTCTCGTCATTTTGCTCGCCCTCAGTGCTTTAATCATGCATCCTTCTTCAAATCCCAAACTTCCAAACTGCACAATTTTAAACCATTTTTCGTTGGGTTTGGGTTTCCTAGTCTGGCGGTTTCCTAGCTTTAAGATGAAATGACCGTTAATGTGAGTCACGCAAAATATTCAATTTGGAGAGTGGTGTGGAGTAGTGGAGTACACTAGCGCCGCATAAGGCCCGACATCCGACATCATGAGAGTGAGGGTGGAGGCCCCGGGGAAAGAGTGCAAAGGGCACCAGAAATAATCCGAACACACATGCATGCGCCCGGATATGAACAAACGAGTACGTGTACCGACGTCCGAGCGATGGACACAGAATGTCCGAAACCCACCACACTTTCCCCCTTTCCCTCCCGTACCCCTTCCCCATTTCTTCCCCTGTTTTTTTCTCCTCCTCTGCCGCACCGACACGGTACCTAACCACGGCTAAAAATTGTTGTTCCACAAAGTTTCTGAAGTACTTCCGCCTTCGCTGACCCCCAACTCAGCGCCCCCCTTAATTAGGCCTAGCGATAACAAATATAGTAACCGGGACCCCGCGACTTTTACGGACGGTCCCCACACACTTGCGCGGAGATTTGTGTACAAAACAGGCCACAACCCTGGTCCCTGCCATCTGCCCATGTACTCCAACGCCACCAGCGTATCCTCATCCCTGACCTGCCTCCGAATGCGACACAATTTTCAGTTTGTCAGTCTGTCCGCCAAGCGCTGCCTCAAGATGACAGCTTCCCCCTTCTTGTTCGTCATTACGGGGCCCGTACTCCTCCTTTTCCTGGACGAGCGGCTGGAGGTTGCATTCCCGGGACCACTTCTCCTCCTCCTTTGTCCCCCTCGCTCATCATTCTTCTTTCCATTCCTTTTCCCCCTCTCTGCGACACACACCTACCAGAGCCGCCACGACGTCGTCTTCGGTCTTCGGTACCCCCTCTCCCTCCTCCACCTCGCGATCCGCCCCCCAGTAATATCTCAAGACGTGACACCGGAGCCACCTGCCCCATCACATCACACCATGCATCACGTCACTTCATTTCATATCGTGTGCTTTTGTACCCAAATCCACTCTCTGTCCTTAAAAATTAAATACGGGGTCAACATCAATATAATCTATTGCTGGAACTCCTCCTCCTCCTTCGCGAAATCTCTCACTTCCCACTCCAATTCATCATTTTCTCACTTGTCCCTTCGCTCGTTCAGGATTCATGGCAGAAGACAAAGACAGAGACACAAGCAACGGGACACAACAGAACGCAACAGAACAGACTGCCCGGCAGGAGGGAAAGGAGGGGAGCAGCCTCCCGAGGTCCAACACGGAAGAGCAACTGGAAGCAACTCGTCCACCATCACCACTACCGAACATGCGCTTCAGGTCCTCGTCCTCCTCCTCGTCCTCCTCCACCTCCCCACCTTTCACCTCCTCCGCGCCGCCGCCGCTGCCATTGCCACCGCAAACACCACAAATTACCGCCCGCTGTTGCAGGTGCTGCTACTGCAGCTGCAATTGCATCATGGACGGATGTCAGTTGCCATCACTTCCACCTCGCCCTCCTCAGCCCCCCCTCCACCAGCTCCTCCTCCTCCATCATCTCCTCCATCTTCCTACCTCCGCCTTCTCTTGATGCTCGTTGAGGTTCTTCTTCCTCGCCCTCCTCCACAACGTGTAACTCTAGATCTCCCTCTTAGGGTTCAAATTCTTCCTCATCGTCACCTCGTCGTGATCACACTTTATCGTCCTCGAAAACCCATTTGGACAGTTTGGGTGACCTGTTGCCCACACGGAGGCTGTACTCCGCATCCCCCGGAGGTTTCTTCTTCTCCGTGGCGCTGGCCAACATGGACCGGAGGGAGAGAACGACCTGCAAATATGGGTTTTAGGGTTTAGGGATTTAGGGCGGGAAAGAAAGTGGAAAAAGAGGAGGTTGGCAGGGAAAAGGAAACGCGGGAAGGGAAACACAAGTGGTTGCGACATGGGGCGGGAGGGTGGTTGGCGGTGGCTACGACGAAGCACAGAAGACGACATGACAAGAGGGGGAAAGCTTGTACGAATACTCAAAGGTTGGCGGTGGGTTGGCGGTGGATTGGTCAGAAGGATTGGCAGGACAGTCCCTCCCCCTCTAACTCCAGAGGGACCCCCTTCCGTGGGTTCCCCTTCCGTGGGTTCCCCTTTAGTTCATCTAAAGCTAAAAGGGAAGTAAAGCGGATGAGTGGGTGGCTCTACCAGGGTACTGGAGGAGGGACGAGGGACGAGGGAAAACCCGGATAGACGACGCGACCCACTGCCAGAGGGAGCTGGATATGAGAAAAAAATATACAGGTCCTCGCGCACTGTACGTCGGTCGGTCGGTACGATATTTCCGGTGGGGACCATTCCCAATATGTCTTTTACCTTGCTCATTGTAAGAGCGGGTGACCAGCCTCCGTTGTGCCCCGAGTACAAGATGTCTAGACAGATGTGGCCGTTGCTGCGGTTGGTTGGGGTTCGTTAGGGCCGGAGGTAAGTTAAGGGTGGGTAGGGTAGGGTAAGATATAGGTTTAGGCCAGGGAGAGATCGGGGTTTTGACTTATAAAGGGCGTTTTCTTTTCCTCACCCCACCCCCCGCCCCGCCCCGCCCCATGGGACCCGCCCCAACAGGCCCGCAGCCCAACAGGGCCCGCAACCCCAATCCCAAAAGCCTTCCCGGTCCTCCGCCCTATCAACACAGACGCACACACATACAGACACACTGATGTGCCCTCATTGTCTGTAGTGGTCAGTTCTAGCCGCCCACCACCCAGTCGCCTTTCCCCTCTACAACGCCCCCCCCCTTACTTCTACGGGCTCTTGATGTCACGCTTCCAACCAACATCTACTTGAAATTTTTCTTAAAGCTACATCTGCAGTTTCATTGGAGAAGTCTAGCACGTTGCTGGTGACTATACGCTGAAGCTCGCTCCGGCATATGAAGTTATTCTCCCGTGTACCACCATCGGCATTTCCCTCATCGCGGCTCCGAAGATCATTCAAGAAACCGCCGTACTTACCTGTAAATGTGGGGGTGTATGGGCACTGGCGGAATGAAGACCACGTCCGGGGGGTCAAGAGGGTAGTTCTCCGTGAAGTCTATCCGTATGCGAAAAACCTCGTCGGCGTACAGCCGCCCGTGACCCTCAGGACCCTGGGGACGGGAGCAGATAGACAGGTAGACAGACAGACAGACGGACATACAGGCAGGCGCACAGATGGACGAACGGACGTCAGCGTGTGGGAAATTAGACGAAGTGGTAGTTGAGCAGATGACGATGAAGGGATGAAGGGATGTAAGCAAGTGCAGGCGCACAGACAGACAGAGAGGAATAAGCAGACAGACGGACACACAGATAGACAGGTGGACGGACAGATGGAGAGACAGATGAGCAAGAGAGCAACATGCAGACAGCTTTCATAGGAAGAGGGGGAAGAGGAGGAGGAGGTCACGCCCTAAGGGGAAGAGCCCTGTAGGAGGCGCCCGACTGGTACTCTACAATGGAGATGTGGGCTGTGCTGGCACAACCCCTAGAACTGAACACGGCAATCGCAGAGACCAGGTTGCAGATTTGCTGGAGTTCAGTCGGATACCCTCCCGAGAAGGGCATTGATTACCTAGGGTGAGGGAACGCAGGCAGGGGTAAAGCCCCGGGTTGATAGGAGATGCGCGAAACTCGCGCCGAGAGGACGCGGCGTAGGGTGGGACTCCGATGAGGGGAAGAATTTGTCCCAAGAGATGAGCGCATAACTACGTGCGCGATGTGCGTGTATTGGCGCGATATGTTCGTTGCATGTCGCGATTTGACCGAACAACACACCTGCATTATAATTACCCAGGAAGTCATGGGCTCATAAGACTCCAGGCAGCAGCCCTCCGGGGGGTTCCGCAGCCATTCATTAAGCTCGCTTTGGATGCGACGCTGTGCCACAACGGAGAGAGACTTGGTTGCCATGGAAAGTCCGAGACTGTAACAAACCTTAACTGTGAGATCAATATCTCGCTGCCAGGAGCAGCAGTATAATTTCCTAGAGCATAGCAGTAGCTGAAAATATGAAATGTGTATGCGCTTGCTTACAACAGTTGTTCGGGCACTCGACGCTGATGGCGCTGAGCTAACCGAGGTAACACATCTCTACTCTCACTTATAATAGTTAACAGCGAGTTTCGAACAAACAGTCCGCACCCGAGCCCCAGAGGCAGGGAGGTCGGTCGATAATTGTACGTCCTCCGTTAAAGTTGTTCGGACTGTCGTAATGAGCCGGAACTTCCATCATCGTTACGCGCTATTGCAAGGGTATGCAGTTGGCGATCTCCTGGTCGATAGTTGGTTGGTCGCATTTGTGCTCGCCAGAGAGGTGCTTGCCGAGGTGTCCGATCTTATCATCAGCAGTCTTCATACGCCGATCAGGTTACTTGCTGTCTATTAACATATTGGCTAGACCAGCATATTTTTGCAGACCTTTAAAGCTCGTTTGTCGTGGTCTAGAAGAATGGCCGGCGTCAATCCCGTCCTTGTGCTTGTCCTTCCGCTGGCGTACATCCTGGCGTCGACTATGATCACTTTGAAGCTTACTTTGGTGTTGTCGCTTCTCGGCCAGGTTGGTCATGAGATTATGGTCAAGACTTTTAGCATTTTTCCGTAAGGAAAAGACAGGATATGTCGCTGACACGCAATAACTGTCTCTATTATCAGGCTGGCGTTAAGGTTAGGTCCATGAAGCAGCTCGCGCCGATCGAACCAGGTAAGCGTTTTGACCGCGAACAGCTGCAGATCGCAAGTCGCTCTGCTCGAGAAATCCCTTGTTGCTCGAGCACTCCGACGCACGGAATAGTTTTAGCATTGCTTCTTATTACGTGACTTCCCTGGTACGTGTGAATGTGACAGCTGTGACTGCACTCGTGGACTACTTGACGCGCGTGTTTGGACCACTGCACAAGTTCACCCCTCAGCCTACGCACGTGCTGCTGGTGAGTGGGTGAGGAGTTCTGGCTTCCATATGGATTTGCGCTAGAATTTTTTGGGAGTCAGGGCTTTACCAGTCCGTAAGGTGAGGAAGGGGCCCAGTTTGACCAGGAGCATAAAAGGGCCATTGCCAGCTTCCAGCGACCCAGATGGACGCAGTCTGAAATATCTTGTACTGAATGGCGCCTCCACCGTTTAATGTCCAGTTGTACTGAGGCTGCCGCACGTACGGTACCTTGTATCCCTAATCTGTGCTCCTCTTTATGGTAGAGGAAAAGGTCTTTTGGTACTCGCCACATGCTTCTAAACATGCTTTTAAAGGATTGCCTCCGCCTTGAACAGTCATTTCAAGCCACCCCCTGAAGGAGCCCTTCAAATTTGATCTACCAAGCTGCTCTAGGACGCGAACACCAAACCTCCATCATTCCTCATATCATTCTGCTTTAAGCCTTTGAACATATCATCTCGGTCCTACCCCTTCAGGTGGCCGTGATTGTGGCCCTGGTAGTGCATGGCAGCGGCAGCAGCCGCCGCAAGTGAGCTTGACCTGGCAGTCCATCGGCTGGCACTTCCGCTGCTACTTGGGGTGGCGCTGCCTGCGGCGAAGACCATCACAGCACCACCGCGAGGGGCCCGAAAGTGAATTCCTTGCGCTGTGGTGATAATGATTTCTCATCGCGTTAATGGCCGTTGCATTCCCGGTTAGGTTAGGCGACTTTGTGCGGGCTTGCTGTCCATCCGGCTGTAGGAGATTCCAGACGGAACGCAAGAGTTGAAAGAGAATTCTTAGAAGATATGGGTGGAGCTGTTGAATGGTCAGTGATGGAAACGGTTGGCTCCGTACGCTCCTGCTGCTGCTCTCGTTTCAGGGTATTTGAATCGTTCGAAGGTCACCGTCATGAATCACGGTTCTGTTTAGCATGGCCAGCTCACGAGTTTCATGCAAAGTATACATTTTGGACTCAGATCAATCAATATAGTGTTTCTACGGTACTGTAGGACGTAGTAAAAATGAACATGAGCCTGAAGTAGGATCGTTAGGCAAGCCATGACGTTCGTCGCAGATTGCAGGCTTAACACTTTGACAACGAAATAAAGCAGTTATGTTTAATTATTACCAAATCATGGAAAGGATAGCAAACTACGGCCCTCTGTTGACGGCATAAACAGGACGATTATTATACAACATAGCCCAAATTTGCACAAAATGCCCTTGTTTCATATGCCACCTGCTGCTCAGCTCAGTAGCGACCACATGACTCTTCCTGAGACTGCAAGTAAACAGCATGTATTCCGACGCAGGGTCAACTTCTGCTCTGACATGCTTCCCTCTCCTCACACCCTCTTTCAGTTCCTCCGACGACCAAATAACACGCCAACCATTCAATTGACAGCAGCATCGCCAACGTCCCCAAAAAAACACCAGCATATCCATACCAGCATGGCAACAGCAGCGTTCCAACACCCCACCATTTCCCACCAGCTGGTGCGACCATTACAGTACGGCCAAACACCAAACCTTGTTTAGATGCCTTCTTAAACATCCTGGTGCGGGCGCCATGCAATTTCTTGTTACATACATGTATACATACATACAAACGGAGACCCTCAGCCCAGCGAATGCAAGCTCAGGGTCGAGGGGACTTTCAACTGCCATGCACAGCGTTCCTGCCCGCAACCGCAACCGTAGCGTCGTACCGCACTGCGTGGCTCTCCTCCTCCCAGCCGCCAACTCAAAACTCAGCTCTCAACTCGCATCTCACGGCTCATCTAATGGCTCGATCGATCCAACTCGCCGGCTGCTATAGCTCTATTCAGTTGCTGTCCTTACTGGGTTTCTCCTCTCCAGAGGACGGTGAGGAGGACACGGACAACGACTTGAGCGCCACAGTCGCCGAATAGTAGCGGACTGTATCTGAGAGAATTTCCTGTACGAGGGAGGGCCGGGAGTGAGGGACGAAATGAAGAAGGTGGACGGCGGTCCTTCGAAGGAGGAAGAGGGGGGGAAGCAGTGCAGTCCCGAACAGCCCCACCCGTGCCGCTTTCCCCGCTGCTCTACGGGCAACTGTCGGGACTTCTCTCCCCGGTCCGCGGCCGAGGCCTCACACCACTACCCACACCACTCTACCTCCGCACCTTCTCCCGGTTCAGTCTCTTAACGGTGCTGTCCTCCTCCAGTAGCTGCTCGGAGTTCGTGGGGGGCCCGGGAGAGGGAAAGGGGGGCGATGGGGGGGCGGGGGAAAAGAGGGGGTGCAGTATTTGGGCGATGACGCATTAGTGCATCCCATCGGTCGAAGCCCCTAAATCGTGTCATACCTCTACAACCTCTACAATCTTACCTTTCCTCCCCCTTACCTTACCACCATCTCTCGTCTTTCTCTCGACGTCCTAACCCAGGTCCCCGACCCCCCGATAGGGTTCGCTACTGTCGTTTGTGCAAAATCCGGCTCGTATTGCTATAACCTCCCCCACTAATTCCCCCCCTTACCTCTCCCTCGCCTTGTTGGCTCGTTGCCTCTTGCATCGTATGATTCCCTCCCCCCCCCACCTCGTTCCCCAACATCTCATCCCCCACCACACACATGCACAAACAGACAGACATACAGACATGCACCGCCGCCACTCACGCTCTGCTGGAGGACCTTGATATCCCCAAAGAACGACGCGATCCAGTACGACAGATCACGTGGGCCCAGGCCCCCCAGCTCCTCAGGCTCCAGCTGCGACGATTGGAAGGAGGGGGAATGCAGTGGGGGGTGAGGGAGAGGGAAAAGATATGCAAAGAAGAGGGGATGAGTATGGGGAAAGCGGGGGGGGGGGGGAGGGAAACACAGACAGAGACTCGTCTATGAAGGACGAGAAAGGCGATGCACAACCGACGGTGGCGCCTTCTGGTACGACATCAACGCCATCCTACAATCCCAAACCTCAATTCCATCATTCGCACAGGCCGGTCAATCAGTCCGTCCTCCTGACTGTCTGTCTGTCTGTCCGCTGCCTGAAAGTTACCCGGGGCCCCCCAGCCCTTAACACCCTCTCTTTCCAGTCCTTCCACCAGATAATAAGCAATCGTACAGTTCCCGTACAGCCCCCAAAACCCTACCCCCCACCCCCGCCAAGCCCTGGCCCCAACCTGATCCTCCGAAGCCTCCAGGTTGTTCAGTTTGACGTTGAGCCGGATGGTGGAGCGAAGTAAATCAGCCACCTCCTTAGCCAGAGCCGCCACCTGGCGTGACAGCCGTTTCGGACAGTGCCATGCAGTGAGAGTTGGGGAGTTGGTGGGGTTGTAGGCGTTTCGTGCGGGGTGGATTACGTCAGGAAAACACACACACAGTGTACGGACACAGAAACAGTGTGTACGGACACACACAGGCACACACACATTCCCTGTATCGAGGTCTTTGTGCTCCCTTATCCACACACGCATACACACGCAGCTATGTGGAATCCCTCTTACCCCTAAACCTCCCTAAAACCCCCCTAAAACCCCCCTAAAACCCCCGATCTGCGCGCCGTACCTCCTCCCCCTCCGCCTCATCCTCCGGCAGCTCCTCCACCTCCGCGATCATGATGGGTCGGTCCTTCACGATGGACAACACGCGAAACCTCTCACGGCCCTTGGAGGTCACGAAAATCCGCCCGTCCTAGCAGATTAGGATTAGCGGGGGAGTTTGGTGGGGCAGTTTGGTGGGGGAGGAGTAAAAAGGGAAGAAGGAAAAAGGGAGGAGGGAAGGGGGGGAAATTAACATGCAAAAACATGCGGGTGATGGCCACCACTGGAAGGTAGGACGAACCGCTGACGATTGAAGCAGGATAGCAGAGATAGACGGATAGGCCAGGGATAAACTAAACAGATACTGCATCACGGAATAGGAATATTGTAAACAACTGATTTCAGTCATCATGACTTGGGTAGAAGTTATGGCGGGGACGTGGCCAGCTAGATCGCGAAACGGGTTAGTAGCTGCCAAGTCTAATGAAGGCTACTGGGGCGTGAAACGGCGGCGAATTCTACACATCACCACCGCCACCGCCATCACCACCACTGCTGGGAAACCCAAGTTTGCGTGTCCAACCCCCAACCCCTGGGCACACGGACTAACGATCATCTCCCTCCCCCTTCACCCCCTTCGTTGTATTAACAGTCAACAGTCAATACGCTTATTTTCTCTACCTACTTTCCGTACTTTCTGCCGTACTTTCTGACTCCGGCCCTCCCTCCCAAAGAAAACTTCCATGCAGTCTGCCGGGCGGGCGGGCGGGCGGGCGGGCGGGCGGGCGGGTTTTCCCCTCCTGTAAACTGCCTTTCACTCCCCCTCTTCCCCCTCCCCGCCCCCGGCAGCCCCCCTCCCCGCCCCCCTCTTCCCCCTCCCCGCCCCCCGGCAGCCCCCCTCCAGCGCATCGCTACACTTCTTGA